GTTCTGAAAAAGCAGTTTGTTCCAGCAAGTCCTTTCCAGGCTGATTTATAAACGGGAGGATCTGTGTTCATTGTAATGAACTGGTGGACTTTCTGTGTTGTTATGAGGAAAGTTGCTGTATTGGCATCCATTTAGAAGGAGTTAACCTTTAGGGAGCCAAAAAATTAATTTTCTATTGCTGGGGATAGCTAAAACGTTACTTTTATCATAGTGTATTTTATAGTCTATTGGAAAATTCGTAAGCCAATCACAGAAGCAGGGAATTACATTTCTGGGGGGCATTCTGTACACTTACAGTGTACAGAAAGCCTCCAGGTTGCCATATTGGATTGATTTTTTTGAACAGTTTTAGAAAATGACTGCAGCTTTAGACTGAAAAGAAAAGGTAATTTTGAATTACATTAAATTGACTAATGACATTTGTTTCAAGTGTAATTTCTTAACAAAAGTGGAGCTTTCCTTTAACTGAAGCCAAAGTAGATAGATTCTGATGTATGCTTTGTTTCTTACGCTGTTTATTGAATACCTCAGTAAATCATATGGTAGCGATACCTATATAGCTGCCAATTGGCCCTGATTTCTATGAACCTTCCATGGTTTTGGAGTTTTCTCAGTGTAAATTATGGCTGTGTAATGTTCAAAAATTTAAATGGCTATAAAAGCCTGTTTTCATTTAAATAATTTCCTGCTCTATTTTCATATTGTGCTGGATGTTTCATGTCCAATTTTTTATAATAGGAGTAGGTGTAAAGAAAATACATTTCAATTTAGATGGAGTTGTTGTGGTCAGGTGTGGTTCGAGATGTTTTGACATGTATTGAATACTGGGACACTACATCCTCTTTACTTATACCATGCATTTCAATAACAAGGCAATTAAGCCACCAGATGGCTCCCTAATGTTTTGTAATATACTTGGGAGGATTAAAGGAGCTAAGTTTGAAAGTTCATTCAAACAATTTTCCATATAAACACTTATTTAGTTGTACGTTAGGCCATCAAATCATAATTTAACAGACTGTGGTTTAATGAAAAAGACAGGTTGTGTAGATTTTTCACATAATGATATGCTAAAATTTCCTTTTAGGACTGTATAAAGAAACTGTAAATCTAAAGTGGGCAGGCTTACTGAGATGAAATATGCGCATAGGGGTAACTAGAAACCTCAGGGCCCCGGTGCAAGAAACCATGAAGCGCCCCCCAGGGAGGCAATGTCGGTGCTTTGGCGGTTACTGGGGCCAAGTCCTCTTCTTCCTTGCGGAGCACCAGGGCCTGGTCGAACAAGTAACCGCTGAAACACCGGTAGTTTGGCCAGTGCACCAGCAGTAACCAAAACCGGTTCAATGCCCCCATTTTTTTGAAAGAAAATCTCAAGGTTCATTGAAAATCTGGCTTAAGAACAGATTGAACTTTAGTTTCTGAGTATGCTGCTTAATTCAGACTAGATGAGCCATCGTCCTTCCAAAGTGTAACATTTCTGTAACAAATATACATTGAATAATGAATATTCCTGTAGCTTAGTGAACGAGGTAAAAATGAACTTTGCAAAGATTACCCAATCACGTGCAAGGAGAATATACAAACAAGTATTTTTGCATACACATGATTGGATGATGGAAGTCAGCAGAGCTTCCCCTCATTTACTAAGCTAAGGGAACATTCCCTTGCACGGTTCAAATTCACTTGCAAAGTAAAGAGCCTATTTGCCTTTAGCAAATCAACCCAATTGTCCAAGCTTAATTAAGATCTACGCAGATTTGCTGCTGGCCAAATTTATGGCATGGTTACACAATCTACTAATTTTTTATAGAATTGCACAGGAATCCAAACGTGTTGGGGCTCACATAGGAGCCAACCTATTCATAATATCTGGATGGTGTTATATACCACAGTGAATATAGGTTGGGATTTTATTCATTAGATCCACGCAGATTGATAAACCAGACATACAGTATACAATCTTTTCCTTCAATTACTTTTTCATTTATTTGATGGTATGATCCAAACCAAAGGCAAGGGCTATACAAGGTCATTTTAATCTTCCGCTCTTGACAGATTTAACCACTTGCTTGCATTTTCCACATTTGCATCAGGAAATAAAAATGTACCAAAACAATAAATGTAATATAGGTGAAGCTGTATTTTTTTCTACCTTGGGGAGACCAGACAGTTGGAGGCAGTGATCAATGTGAGTTGTCGTAATGGCCACGATCTGCAGTATGTCTAAATAAAAGTGTAGTTCCACATGTTTGTAGGTTGATGGGTTTTTTGTAGATTAAAATGTAGTTCTATCCTTAGAAGACCTTTCATGTAAGCTGTAATATTTGTGGTCATCTTACATCTTATATCCACTTACATCCGGCCACCCATAGGGATTACATGGGTCTCAAGATGGAGGAAAAAGCGGAATGGACAGAGATCCATTTCCGTTCTGATCTGACTCAGCGGGGGATCAGTCTAGGATCCCCTGCTAAGATGGAATGGAGGGTGCCTTTGTGGAAGGGGAGAAACAGGTCCATTTTCAACACATGTTTATCAGCTCACTCTGTGATGTTTATTGTATTTCTGTAATGCTAAACCAGATACACAGAGAAATAACATAGCTTAGATTAATACTGGTTTCCTGTGAGTTATATCTTATCAGTTACTTATTAAGAACTTTTTTATTTCTAACCTTTTCTTGTGAAGTCAAGGGTATGGCTATTCTTTTTCCTTTTAATCCTATTCGATACCTCTAGTGTTGCTGGACATCTTATGCTGGGAATGATGGATTAAAAGTAATATTGCTAAGACAGTTGTGGTAATGAAAACCAAAAGTAAAAGTACATCCAAATATTAGCTATCTGATTGTTTTATTCTTGCCTCTAAACAGGGGTTTTTATTGGATGTCCTTCAGGATTCTGTGCTATACTATGGGGGTTATTCATAAAGCTGTAGGCAGCCGAGTGAATAAACGACCCGAAGTGAAGTGAGCCGTACGCTGTTCGGCTATTCACTTCAGGCTTGTACGGCCGATTTCAGCCGTACACCGACTAAAATCAGCCGTACATGGGCTTGGTGCGGCTAGCTTCGGGTCGGCCAAACATGCTCAGCATGTTCGGCCGACCCAAAGTGCAGAAGGAGTTCGACTCAGCCGATCCAACATCTGGAGCGGCTGAGCCGAACCTCCGGCAGGCTACTCGCTGCTGTTCAGCCTATTCTTATAGATGCCAAACAGCAGTGAGTGAATAGCCGAATGCCGCCGAGCGGCATTCGACTCGGCAATTCTGCTCGGTACCTCTGTGGTCCCGAGCAGTATAGAAAACCAGTTTAAAAAAGTAGAAAAAAAAATAGAAAATGATCAGCAGAGCCGGAGGTAACCAGGGAATGCTGAACTGTCAGTACCATGAGAGCTCAGCAGAGTCGGCTTTCATATCACCTCCGGCTCTGCTAAGCTCTCATTGTGATGCAGGGGGGAGAGAGCACCCCCCTGAAATGATGGCAGATAGCAGAGGAAGCAATAGCTTCTTTGCTACCTGCAAGTTTTTTTTTTTTGTATTCTAACAGCTCCTCCCATCAGTATAAAAAAAGAAAAAAAAAAGAAAAATCAGCATAGGAATGCATAGCTAGATTCCTATTGGCTATTTCAATTTGCAATATCCAATAGCAAGCTGGCTATTGCACCCGCCCTCTGCTGCTGTCAATCACTAGAAGAGGACCTGATGGGGAACTTCAGGTCCCCTCTGCTGATTGACAGCAGCAGTGGGTGGGTGCAATAGCTGGTTTGCTATTGGCTATTGCAAAGTGAAATAGCCAATAGGAATGTAGCTATGTATTCCTATGCTGTTTTTTTTTTTCTGACTGACGGCAGCTCCGATGTCAGGAGAAAAAAAATAAAACAACAGAGCAGGGAAACAACAGAGCAGAGTAAACCTTTCCGGGAGAAAATTATTCTCTCCCGGGCGGCCGGGAGCCACTATCTAATAGCGGTGGACTCCCTGAGCGTCTGGTAGAGTAAAGACAGACCAGCGTCCCTGGTTACCTGGTAACCAGGGGACGCAGATCTGTCTTGCAAGTGAGATGACGGCTGGCTCCGCCCAGCTGTCAGCAGCAGGCTGTCGGCTGGCCGTACAGCAGCCCTACGGTTCTACTGAACCGAAGGGGTCCTGGGGCCGAAGCTGCAGCTAGATCCTTCGGCAGCTTTGTGAAAAAACCCCTATGTCTTTGTTCTTGTGCCTTGAATCCCACTTTAAAATAATTCTAAATTCCCATTATATACTATCCTGTTATAACATCAGCATTGAAATAGGAATACATACTAGAGTTGTTTTTGATGCAATCAAAACTTGCTTGAAAAAAATCCCTTTTATGTAGTGAGTGGTGCTTTCGTCTGTACATCACTTTCAACAAATTCCTTTATCCTCAGTGTGCTTTACATCTCTTTCCCTGCTGCTTGATGTAAAGCAATCTCCATTTCTCAAAACAACATATTCCATCATGCATTGCTTCCAGAAAGCAATGATAATGTGACATTGTTCAGACGTTGAGTTGTAGTGCTTATTGAGTGCATATTTACAGGGCTGAGTGAAATTATGTCAATGCAATGAGGAAGTACATCCTATGAGCATCTTCAATAAGTAAGTTTACAAGCTTCTAGATCAATATGGTTATTAGGCGTGGGATAGAACTTATGGAAATTAATTATAGAAATACAAATTTTATTTTTGTTTTTGACCATAGATACCCTTTAACTACTGGACTAAATAATATAGTCAGATTGTTATTACCCAATGTCCTCTTTGTAGATTAACAACACACTTTAATAAATAAGAATTAATTAGGTGGTTAATAAGCCAATAATGGGAAAGGGAAGGACACAAACCAAAACTTTGGATGTCATTTGTCTGCCAATGATTCTATCATTATATTAACATTTATTGTCTTTATACTTTGCAGTTATCTATGCAGAATGGCACATTTGCCTATACTTGTTTATTCATATTTAATGTTTTTTTTCACAGGGTTTCTGGAGGAGAGCTCTTTGACCGGATAGTGGAAAAAGGATTTTACACTGAAAAAGATGCAAGCACGCTCATCCGCCAGGTGTTAGATGCTGTTTTCTACCTTCACAGACTTGGAATTGTACATAGAGATCTGAAAGTGAGTAACAACATTAAGGCCTTAAATGCCTGCTCCTTGGGCTTAGTGCAGCTGACATTCATACCGTCATAAACTAAACTGCGCAGGCTCCAGTCGTCATGTGGACTAGTTACACTCATAGGATTTTGTTTGTTTGTTCCTGTCTAGCCTGAGAATTTGCTGTATTTTAGCCAAGACGGAGAATCAAAGATTATGATAAGCGATTTTGGTCTCTCCAAGATGGAAGGTAAAGGAGATGTGATGTCTACAGCCTGTGGAACCCCTGGGTATGTTGGTAAGTGACATCATGATGGTGTACTGAGAGTTACTGGGGAATACTGGGGCCTTTGTGGAGGTTTTTAAATAAAATGCAAGTGATGGATTCCAAGAGCTCAGTATTGCAAGGAAATTTTCCCTTGAGCTTAGAGAATGTGGTGAAATTCCCTTTGCAAAGAATACACAATACACTTTGCAAAGAATACACAATCGCAAGCAATGATAATTTTTTTTTCAAACTGTATTTTTGCTTGCACATGGTTGGTTGATGGAAGTCAATAGATCTTTACCCCATTCACTAAGAGATGGGAAAATTCCCTTGCAATCCAAACAGCATATTTGCCTTTAGTAAATCAAACCCCATTAGCCACACCTTTCGATAATATGGCACCATTACACCACAATTTAAGTTCTGCTAGGCTCAGAATACTTTTTGTATTTGTTAAGTTATTGATTTGGGTAAAAAAAATGGCATAGACATGCAGAGTTTATTTGTAACTTTTTTTTTACTTTTATTTTTATTAATGTTTCAATAATGTATCATTATTAACACACTGCATCCATACTGAGCTCTTGCAATTCCTAAGATAGACCTTTCAGAAACTTTACAAGCGTGCCTGAACAAATTGTTGACATGTCACAGTAGACAGCAAATGGTATAACTAAAAAAAATGGTTATGGTATATGTAAAAGCAGTCCTTGAACTCTAGCCGAGTAATTCTGCGGTGATTTGATGATATCATAAGTCTGTTGGAGGTAGGGGAACCTCAGTCCCCCATCTCCCAGTGATCAGACTGTAACTGTATAGTAAACCACAAGACCAGGGTCTGCATCAGACAGTTGATCTGTGTCAGATGTTTGTGAATAAGAACTACACGTGCACCAGACTTTAACTGATTGCGTCATCTCTGAGCCAGCAACACAGTCCGTGAAATAGGTGCAGATCTTGAATAATGCCTAAACAAAGATGGCTCTGTCCTTTTGTAAAGAACGGTGGATAAAGGCTTTGTCATGGTAGTACTTTGATCTCTTTGAGAGGTAATAAACACTTGTTCTAATACACTTGCCCACTACTTGCACTTAAAGGAGAAGTACAGGAAGAGTAAAACATTTTCTCCCCAATACTTAGAGCCAGTGAGGGACACTGCAGTGTCCCATGCTGGCTCTAACACTGAGAGCTGAGTGATCGCATAAATACTGATTGGTCAGCTCTCAGTCTCTGCTCCAAGCAGACAGTGATGATTATCAGTCACCGCCCCCCACCGGGATTCCACCTTCCCCTCTCTGCTCCTCCAGCACTGACTAGAGGAATAGACCAGGAAGGAGTGAGCACAGCTGGCTCTCAGCCTTATGCAGCAGAGGTGGATGCCGACGATATTGTTGTTATCCACTTCGGCTGCAAAAAGCAAGAGGTTTAACTTCTCTTTTAACATAAAAAATATATCTGTTACTTGGTCCACTTCAAAACATATACTGAGAAAACACAACATGTGTGGTAGGATGCAACTTAATTTTGCTTATATTTACAGTTCTTTACCATACCTGTGTTGAAGTATACCCACTGGAGGACCAAGAGATGTTTTTTTTAAATACATGCAGGATTATAAGTGAGAAATCGACCGTGTCAAGTGAATCTAAACAGTAGTAATAGTTACACGGAAGTGTTTATGTAATATTTATATTGTTTCATTAATGTTTGGTACATTTGCACACATTGGAGGCTCTGCAGCATTATTTTGTTTAGGAACTCCAGCCTCACCTTGAAGTCTTTTGTAGTTGTACCGGCTCCTCTCCTGAGTTGTATAGACTCCTCTCCTAAAATTTTCCCGCACAATATAAGCTTCTCACATTGAGCATTAGAAACCCATGTTTTTTTTATGGCTGGAAGACATCAAGCATCATCTGGCCTTTTATTGTACTGGTGCTAGTCTGAAAGAGTGGCCATTACTAGGCAGGGTACATTTGCATGCTGACTACCCTAGGTAATGCTTACACGTGTTGCTAAGCCTCTGCCTTTAAATTAACTGAAATCCAGTTAATTAAAGGGATAGGCCAGGGAGGCTGGGGTGGGGCTCCCTGGTGCACCCCAGTCAGCATGCAAATATACCCTGCCTAAGAACGGTTACATTTCCAGACTACCACCCATCCAACAAGGCATTTTGATATTTTCATATTACCTCTCAACAGTAAGCTCACTGCTTGGATCAAACTAAGGGTTCTTTTGCACGTGCATTGAGAATTTAATGAAAGAACAAACGCTGATTAACACGCATATGGAGTTAATAAGGCATTCTGCAGGCATTCTCAAGGCATTAAGGAGGTGTCAAAAACTCTTGCAAAGTGCCCTACAAGTAGGGGAGTGTTTTAAAGGGTAAAGTGATGTAGTAAAGGGAAGTTACCAGCAGTGGCCACCCTTCTATTTTTTTGAAGGAGTCACAGTAGCTGGGCAGGCTTGGGTCATACAATTCTGGGTATTGCTTAACTGTTTGAACTAGCCGTGCAACATTTATTCAGACATGACCGATTCTAGCTGCTACTTGCAATGCTTAGCAATGGTATGGGTGGCAGTGCTATGCTGGCACTGCTTTGGATGACACTGATAACAGCTGGCACTACATGGTGGCATAGGTCAAGCTGTCACAGGTTGAAGGGCCTGGCTAGAAGCTGTCCTGTTGCTGGCAAAACACTGGCTATGTGCAAACAGGAAGTGGCATCTGTACCTGCTCTGTCTGGTCACGCTATAATTCCCCAGTGGTTTCTGGGATTGCAAAGCCTCCTATACCTTTTCTAAAACACCTGTGCAACACTTCCTAAATGCCCAGCATTGACTGAACATTTGAGGGGTGTTTCAATATACTTACTCTAGCAGCAATGCCTCCAGAACCTGACATGCACTCTATTTTTTGACACACACCAACACAACGCTAACGTCCATGTTTGAACAGCACTGGGCGGTTGCTATTGCTTTATCCCACATGGGCATTAATAGGCAGCAGAGAGGCATTAAAAACGCGTAAAAAGACATTAAAGGATAAAAAAAATTTCCATCCTCCCCATGTCAGCACTTACCTTAAAGGAGAACTATGGGTTAAGGCTTTTCCCCATAGTTCTCCTTAGGGTAACAGGAGGACACAAACTAGCATCCTCCCGTCACCCTAAGCTCAGTATACCGCGAGCTGTAACTTTTTGCCTATATCTACTGCTTGATAGCAGTAGATATAGGCAAAAAAACGGGAGGGTTTAGAACCACTTTAATGCCTGGTTTTAACACACATGTGAAAGAGGCCTAAGGGCTATTGAGAGGAGCACTGAGACACCCTGCCAGCCCCTCCAACTAGTCATTACCTGTTTTGCAAAGAGAGGTACAGAGACTCAGCAATGGTGTCACTGTGTCTAAAATAAGGTATGCAATGAAAATAGAAAGGTTTCTATAGAAACAGAAATGTCATTAGTATGTTGATATTGATGAGGCACAAAAATAAGCAGATTAAAACTTCAGTTTTAATGTTTTTTTCAAGATGAGAAATAAAAAGTACATGTTTTAAGAACTGCAAGAGCTGGCTATGGAAGCGATCTGTACATAGAAAACAAAATGATCAGCAGCTAATAGAGGGTTTAAATTAAAAAGATTTTCAGAGGCTATGTTATAATCTACTTTTTAATATCAAGGTGAAAGTCACATCAAGGGCAGGTGTAGTGGATATCTGAAATCCTTTCTTTCATTGGGTGTACATCTGTGATATTAGTCTGGCTACTTCTATCTGGGTATAGTAATACACGAATAGAACAATCGGATTTACACATAGCATTCACAAAAATCAGATTTAGATCGATCGATAGATAGATAGATAGATAGATAGATAGATAGATAGATAGATAGATAGATGATCTACATACACAGTACGTTAACTTTTGAGTAATTTACATGGTTGGTGTCCCTCTTACCGAAATCCTCTGCATGCACCTGCTTACACATTCAGACTGTGATCTCCATGACTGTAGCTGCTGACCGTGCCCATTTTGCCGGCATTTCTTATTCAAGACAAATAACACTTGTCCCTCTTCACAATGATTTTTGACTGCAGCCTTTTTCTGCTGCCAAGCACTGAGCAGAGATGCGGTGTAATCACTCTGCAGTGCTGTCCTGAACTGTGGGTAGTCCTGGAACAGAAATCAATGCACCTATATTTTCATCTATAAAATGCACAGAAAGTTCCTGTAGCGGAAAAATGCAAATTATCAGAACCAGGGACTCTGGAGGTCAGTTAGTAGTGTTTTATTAAATGAATATGATGCATTATGAAATTGCTTTACATCTGGCAGTGGATGACCAAGAGCTGTTGTTTTGCTAGAGCAAGCACTTTTGAGATAAGTAGGAAAATTGCTTTGTACACTAACAGTTCTGTAAAAGCTAGTGGCCTGAGCAGGTCTTCATATTTCATTTCAGACGTTGGTACAACATATTCCTGACTTGCCAACTGTCTCAATTACTAAGGTTCAGTAACCTCGAAGTTGGATTTTTTTTCTTTTTAAGTAGGGTTAGGTAGTCTATCTGTGGAGTTTGGTGGATTAAAGAATTTTGGCAAGTTTACATTCCATTTGTGGGCTCGTTACCAGAAAAAGTCAAAAAGTCAGATAAAAGGACTTCAGATACCTGTAGTTTATTATAGTAGTATACTTTAGTTCACACTAATAGAGCTTGTGTCTAAATGTTTGTATTATACATCATAATGGAATACATTTCTTTATTTTCACGTTTTGTTTTTCTCTTAGAATGAGTTAAAACTTGTAAACATAATGAGCCAACCAAAGTTTGCTCTGAGCAGCCTATTTAACAGTTTCAGCTCTCATACTTGTATACCCCTTATGGACCAGAGCAATGTTTACATTTCCGCACTGGGCCTGTTTATTTGGTGATATTGTTGTCAATATTTAAAATAACACAGTAATACATACATTGGGGTTTTTTTTGTTTTTATTGGGGGCGGAGGGGGTGGGGGGGAACTCTAGGCTTTCTTT